AAAATAGAAACATGGACTGCAGAAGTTCTTCCTGTCTCTCTAGCCTGTAGCACCCTGCTGAATTACTTCCAGCCGCCCACAAACGCAAAACAAAATAAAAATAAATTTTAAAAATGTATGCCAACTTCTGACAAAGTGCCTCAATGGCTGGAGAGCAGAACTGCCTTTAAATAGCCTTGTGGAAATCTATATACATTTATATTTATATGTGCTTTCTTTGCACTGTATGTGATTTCATGCTTATCCCTGTGCTATGAATTTGATCTGAATGCTTGTTTAAAAATGTATGAATGTCATTTATTTATGGAAGATATCAAACCATGTGGAATTTAGGGAGAGATGGCACAAGCACACTTTGAAGTAGGACATTAGATATGAAATGAATGCCTTATTTACATGCTGCGTGTTAAAGTGCTATGGTTTTTGCCTATACAGTTGAAACGCAATTATATTACACCGATATCTGAGCAGAGATGCCACTGTGCATTAACACTGCTGATTGATTGATTTCAGATTACCCAGCAGTTAGAGGGCATCTGCCTGCAGGTGATCGGCACAGTTCTCCAGCAGCACGTCCTGGGTGAGTTTCGTACGCTAATGGACAAACCTGTTTTGCATGACCTTATATTTGTGTATTGATTGTTTTGGGTTAATTTTCCCAGAGTTCTATGAAGAGATCCTGTCCCTGGCCCACAGTCTGACGTGTCAGCAGGTGTCCCCTCAGATGTGGCAGCTGCTCCCTCTGGTCTATGAGGTCTTCCAACAAGACGGATTTGACTATTTCACAGGTAATGCAGAGGCCAGCGTTTGCTTTGCATGTTCACTCGATCAACTTCCTTTTTAAATTGCAAACAATGTCAGATGATTGCGCATATTTCCTTTGGTTGAGAAAAGTGTGACAGTTGTTTACTTGAACTGAAAGATATAAAAATATTTGAGTAACACTTCCTCATGTTCCTTTATTTCAGATATGATGCCACTTCTCCATAACTACATCACAGTTGACACAGACACACTCCTGTCTGACACCAAATACCTTGAAATAATCTACAGTATGTGCAAAAAGGTACAGCTAATTTAATGCAAACCAAAAGTGAAATCGGTTGCATTTTTTGGTAACACTTTATTTTAAGTTGTCCTTGTTACACAAGACATGTAAGTAACCCTAAGCCAGACCCTAATCCTAACCCTAACCATATAGTAAGTACATGTAGTTAATTAATGTTACACTGTAATTACACATTTAATAAGTAATAAGGACAGCTTAAAATAAAGTGTAACCCTTTTTTTTTTTTTTTTTGAAGTGTATGTACAAAGAAAGTACTGCGTAATAAAAGGTCACTACTTAATATGGGTTAAGGTTAGGTTTAGGGTTCTCTTCAGGGTTAGTACCTTGTTACTCTAGTAAGTACATTGTACATTTCTAACTTCCTTTGACTTGAAGAAACTGAGGCAATATGACTTTGTATTAATAAGACTGTGTGCCCAATCAGATTTTGTCAGGAGACCCAGGGGAGGACCCAGAATGCCATGGGGCCAAGCTGTTGGAGGTTATCATTCTACAGTGCAAAGGTCGTGGTATTGACCAGGTGTGTTCCCTGAACTTTGTCCATGTTATATTGTGTTCACCACAGACCATATTTCAGACATTTAACCAAAAACCTATTCAAAAAAACCACTGACTTCATGATAATGGAATTGGAAGTGTTTGAATGCTAATTAAGTTTCTGGGTTTTAACCACTGTATTATGAAAAGAT